AAATTTTGCACTTACGACAATTGTTTTATCAACGTCTTTGCATTTCACAGCTAAAGTTTCCACGCACACTTTTCGACATCCGACGTCCTCGGAAAGTTGTTGACATTGGATGAACGAAACACACTCTGAGATTGTTTTAAAATTCGAAAAAATGTTTGTAGTAATAGAAGAGACTTCTATCTTCAAATTCCACACATTTTTAACGTGAAATAAACATAATACTGAATAGCAGCACTTGAAAAATGCCAAATTCAAATTTGCACAAAGTAGTCTACGGAGTTGAACATTAGTAGTCGTAAATCCAAAAAATTGGGTCGGCTGTTCAACGACTGTTCTAAAATAAAATACATGCTATTTATTCATCAAAGGTTAAGTTTTAAAAGGGTTACGCATTTGCTTACATAGTTTACATTGATGGTTTGTGTGGGACGCTCATGTGCACCCATAGCCCACGCAAATGGTTTTAGCTCGACTCATATATGCGTCCATAGCAGTCAAAGAGTTAATTGAACATTATAACTTAACTATTACAGGGTGGTCAATATGTACTGAATTTGATGGATACCTATGCTGGTGGTTATGCAGGGATATTTATTGCCACCATTGAAATAAGTGCACTTATGTGGGGTTACGGTAAGTTCAAATTACAGTTCTTTCACAGAAATATGAAATCTAATATTCAATAATGAAATATTTTGGTAGAGCAAATAAATTGTAAGTGAAGTGATCATACTTTAATGTCTCAGGGTAGGTTCACAGTGAGTGATGACGTCACCGCCAAGGAGTATTGCGTTCTCTGCGTAATTGCAGAACATATGTTTCTAAATATCTAACTGAGAACGTTTGCCGACGAGGCGTATTGCGTTCCCTGCGTAATTGCAGAAAATATGTTTTTAAAAATCTCTGATAGCGTTTGCCGGCAAGGCGTATTGCGTTCTCTGCGTAATTGCAGAACATATGTTTCTAAATATCTAACTGAGAACTTTTGTCACCAAGGTGTATAGGGTTCTCTTCGGAATTGCAGAAAATATGTTTTTAAAAATCTCTGATAGCGTTTGTCGGCAAGGCGTATTGCGTTCTCTGCGTAATTGCAGAACATATGTTTCTAAATATCTAACTGAGAACGTTTATCACAAAGGTGTATAGGGTTCTCTTCGGAATTGCAGAAAATATGCTTTTAAAAATCTCTGATAGCGCGTTTGCCGCTAAGACGTATTGCATTCTCTGTCTAATTGCAGAACATAGGTTTTTAAAACTCAGGTAACAAAGAGCGCTTACACGGCAGTTGTAATACAGACTAAGGCGTGGACGTCGGCGCTCGCTTGATCTAACCCGATGTTAACTCCAAAAATCTTCAAAAGTTGCGTCAAATGTCTTTTCACAGGAGCTGATCGTTTTGCTGATGACATAGGATTTATGTTAGGCTTTACACCTGGGATTTATTGGAGAATATGCTGGAAATACATAAGTCCTACTGTTCTTTGGGTAACAATTAACTCATGTTAAAAATGCTTAGAATAAGATGTAACTTTAAAGAAACATATACCTATTTAACACTTTTAATATTCAATTAAACAAGTTCAATATTAAGTGGTAAATGTTTAAATGGGAAATTTTGCAATTATTTGGAAATCTATGTTTCGAAGTGTATGAAAAATGTTTTTTAAATAAATTTTTTAATTTGATTAATTATAACTTTCCAGAAAAATTACGAACTTAACTAAAGCATTGTTGTAAATTATAGATATTAGTTATTGTGTAATTATTGAAACTGAAAGGACATGGATGGTTTAACGTTGAAGTCTACGCATTTAAATGTGTGATATAAAAAATATATTATTGTTTTCATAAATCGCAGATTTTTTTTCTTTTTTGAAATGATTCTTCTAAAATTGTGCTGAAATAGAATATTTCTGCCCTTTTTTTCTTCATATAAATGATTGATGAAAATTTTTTGTTGTAATTTTATACATTCGAAACAAGTTTAAACAAAGTAAAGTTGAAATAATGAATATGTTCTAAAAAAATACACTAGTGATTTGTTTATATGTTATATTTTATTTTATTTATTCATATATTTTTATTTGGATGATATTAATTTTTTTAGAGCAGCTCGTATCAAAAAAAAAAAAAAAAAAAAAAAAAAAAAAAAAACAAGTATTTATTCAACTAAAATAGATTTTTGAAGAGTCAGCTTTATCTACAATATTTCAATAACAAAGTATCTTAACACAGATTTTAAAGCAATAGTTGCTTTTAAACGGAGTAATTAACTAAGAGTAATTATATTTTGTCAGTTATGTAACACTTGAAAATTTAAAGTTAATTTAGTAATTTTTCTCAAGAGGGGTACATTTTTGCTTTTATGATACACATTTTTTTTGTAAGGTTTAACAGTTTGTTTGACAAGCAATAATTTCAAAGCTTATAATGCATTTTAATTTCCATACTTACATATTGCAATATTTTATCTTCTACCAAATTAAAACATAATGAAATGTATTTTGTATTTTATTCTTTCAGTTTGTATTAATTTATAGTTTGGGAACTCATTCTATTATAACTTATGGAGGAAAGCCATATCCTAAATGGGCTGAAGGTATCGGATGGCTAATGATTGCTGTATCAGTATTACAAATTCCTATATGGGCACTTATACAGCTGTACAGGTACAAAGACGTAAGTGTTTGAATTTCAGATGAACAAAGAATAAACTCCTGCATTGTAAAATATTCCGAATCAAATTACGGTAAAAAGTACCGGTATTCAGGATGCTGGTAGTTTTTAATGTAAAATCCACTTTTACCGGAACATATTATGGAACAAAAAATCTGCTATACCGTGATTTTTTCTGTAATAATTACCGTAAAATCGGAGAATCACTCTAAATTAATAAATCTTATTAATATTAATAAATATTCCTACAAAAATTACGGGATAATGTTTTACGGTAAAAATGGATTTTACGGCAAAGTGCATTTTACGGATGATGCACCCGAAATAGTTTATATTGTAATTTGATCAGGAATTTCTTACCGCGAGGTTGTCAATCAAAATTGAATGGCGTGACGATCATGCATTGAATAGGGTATAAACAATTTCCCCTTTCGTTTTTTCTTATGTCGCATAATTATCTAGTCGTTTATATGCATGTTTGAATCATTTATGCGTAGCACAAAGAATACCTTATCCTCCTTTCGAATAAATTGCAAGGTGGATAATACAGAGGAAACTGTAATTTTACTCTTTGCAGAAATCGAATTTTTAGTAAAAACAAATGATTTTAACTTACCACAAACAAAATACCTTCTATTTATGCTTTCAGAAATGTCTCTATGATTGAAGTGATGTGATTACGGAAATATATCTATTGGTAAGGGAATGTTTTGGAGGTATTTCAAAAACTTTTGCAGCGTACACGTTACAGAAGTTTGCACGCTATGTTTAATGCACGGTGCAATAGTGTGTAGAGAGTTGTGTTGTTTGTCATAATATTAAGGATGAGTGATTATCAAAACAGCGTCGATTATTATTTATCACATAATTTTACAATAACTTCCGGATTATTTCATATAAAAACTTTATAAATTAATAGAGGCGTCTAGTAATCAATTTTATAAATTTTTGAAATTAAAATATAAAAATAACATATGTGGGAAACTTTTTTAAATTTAAACATTCGATATTTTTTCGAATTGATTATATTCATTTACAAACAAAAAAAAAATATTAAAATGTAAGACTCAAATGTATATTAAAATTTTAGAAAACAATAAATAATTTTCTTTTAACTAGGCGAAAATTGTTTCATTATTTTTTCTGTAATAATAATTTGTTTTACTCCAAAATACTGTGATTTATTTTAGTTATGATTTTTAGGATATCAGAAGTGTTTTTCAGCCTGATCCAGATTGGGGTCCTTTGGAACCTAAAATTCTGCAACAATATAAAAATAGAAATTCTATTTTTGTGGCTGACAAAGGAATACCAGAACAAGGCATTATTAATCTTGGAATGGTGATGTTACCGGAAGATTGCTCTATAACAATTCAAAAATAAAATGCATATTGTAACTCGGACTAAGTCAATCGTGTCTCATGAATCCCGATATTCAACAAAAATATAAATTCTATTTTTGTAGCTGACAGAGGAATACCAGAACAAGGCATTATTAATCTTGGAATTGTGATGTTACCGGAAGATTGCTCTATACTAATTCAAAAATAAAATGCATATTGTAATTCGGACAAAGTCAATCGGGTCTCATGAATCCGGATATTCGACAAAAATACAAAAACAGAAATTCTATTTTTGTACTTGGTGATGAAATACTAGAACAAAGCATTATTAATAATGGAATAATGCTACATGAAGACTCCTTCATAACAATTCACAAATAGAATGTCAGCTGCAACTCAGAATGATACGGGTTGGGGTCATACGTTGCGTATCCAAACATTCGATATCAATACGGATATTCTATTTTTGTTGCTGACAGTGAAATATTAAAACAATGTGTTATTAATATTAGAATGATGATGCTACTTAAAAACAAATCATAACAATTCACAAATAGAATGTAACTTATCAAAACGGGGATCTTCTGATCGGAACATTCAGAAACGGAACAAAAACAGAAATTCTAAATTTTGCAGTTCACAGTGAATTAGAACACCACAACAAGTACATCAGAATAAGGCATGGAAGATATTGGTAAGGAAATATTCCCCGGTAAACTACTTCATAATGACTCACAAATAGAATGTGAGTTGTAACTCAGGCTGATTCAGCTTTGTGATCCATGGATCTAAACGTTCCATAACGATTAAAAAATAGAAATTCTAATTTTGTTGCTGACAGTGAAAGATCATACACCACAACAAGGCATTATGAATATTGGGGTGATGTTGTTACTTGTTACTCATTTATTCACAAATATAATGTGAGCTTTAACTAAATGAGTTAAGCAAAATTAGATTATTGTGAATGTTAAATTAAAAGTTTGTGAGAATGGTATGAAATTCGGAGGACAATGTTTAATGGTATTTCAGTATTTTAAAAGAGCTTATGTACAACTTATTTGAAATGTTGGAATTAAATTTTAGAAACAACGAAATATTTTTAATAAAAAATTCTTTTTTTCTAAAACTGTCTCCTAAATTATGCAAAATGCTTCGCAAACATGCTGATATTTATGGGAAGAAAAATATGGGCACTGATATTGAAATTCATAGCAAATAAGAGTAGGCACTGTTCGTAAATGATGTCACACATTATTCTATTATTTTTGAGTCTTCTCCCTTTTGTCACAAATTGTCACACTTTACTCTATCTTCTACCCCCTTTTTCACATGTCATGCTATATCCAAATACATAGTAAGCACTGTTCAGAAATCAAGCACTATATAGATCATAGTTCATGTTTTATTTCTAAAGTTGAACTAAGCTTTTCAATTATTCCTGTGAGCACAAAAAATAATGATCATGTGTGTGCACATTTTGTATGAAATAAGATGATGGTAAGCAATGAAAAACATCATTGTAATATACAATAGAATGAAGAATTATTGCTAAAAATCAACTGTAAACAGTAGTATTTTGGAGATTTAAAACGAATTTGCATTATTTTTTTATTATTTCTATTTTCTCTTTAAAGATAGTTCGAATTCCGGAAAAATGTTCTGCGCTATTTTTTTCTTTAATGTGTAAATGCCAAGTAAAATTTTCTTAAAATTTTAAGCTTTAATTAGAACTAATTTAAACCTCGATTATTTTTAATGAAAAATAAAATCAATGAGTGATCAAAGCAAAATTATTCAAAGAAAAAAAAACTTTTATCTTTTTTAAAAAAAAAGTAAAATCAGACATGTAAAAAAATAATAATATTAAAGTGATGACAAAAGAGAGAAAATTGTGATTGTATTATAGAAGTTCCAAAATTATAGTCTGCTTTTTTTAATTCGATGTTGTTGAGCTGTTTTTTTTATTAATGCTTATGTTAGCCTAATTTTTATGACTCTTACAACTCTTTATTCAGGATTATGGTGTTGAAGTTGAACTTTACTATAAATCGTGTCACAAATTGCAACGATTTCACAAACTCCCTCTAAGCATGACATTATTTGCAGATTACACTGTAATAATTATAAAAAAAACTATTAAAACCAAATTGTTTTTTTATGGACTTTAAAGAAACACACAATTTATTTTGCTCAAACTTGGAATGAAAAATGTGAGGTGCGTCATTTTTGATTAAAGAAAAAAATTTAATTTTAGCTGGTCATTGCAGTTAATTGCAAAAAGTGATGCTTTGCTTGCTTTCCGTTTCAAAAACGTTTTCGCTTTAATCTAAAATAATTTTTTCATTTTTGGTTTATTAGAAAAAAATGGCTTTAAATTACGTAATTTAATTCATTATTTTCTTAAGTTAAGTTTCGTTTGATTTTCGATTTTCAAAATGTAACTCAGTAATAAATTTTATTTAGTGATAAAATGGTGATTAATTCTGCTTTTTGTGACCAAGAAATGATCCCAACTTGGGTTGTCATCCGCAACAGAGCTCTAATTTAAAATTAAGTGCTCCATTTGTAGGAATATTGAAATTTTTTTTAAAAATATTCCTATAAATTCAATTAATTCACTCTTTAAAAATTAGATTATTTGATTTTCAGATCAATCGAAATTTTATTCGATTGGCTTTATTTGGCTCTAAAATGACAAGGGATTTGGCTTGTATGATCAGATTCAGATAACAATCAGTTTTGTCATCAGGCACAGATGAATCTTCAAATGAATTAGAGAAGTCGATGGCGTCTACATAGGCGTAGCACGTAGAATTTTTTTTTTTTTTGGAGTTGATATTGATGAAAAAGTTGATATTAATAAGTCGTCGCATGATTTCAGTAACATTTTTATTTTAGAATAATAAATTTATAAGAAAAATATTTAAAACTAAATAAAATTTGAAATTTTTTTTATTGAAATTTTATTGTGAATTATAAATAATGAATCAAAAAATATAATTAGGAAAATATTCATCACATCCTATTTTTTGAGACTTTAAAGTAGCTATAATATTAAACACTAAATGCTTTGATACAGGAAACAATCTAGACTAAAATCATTCTTTGAAGATTTGGTAAAATGATTGGTCAACATTTTGAGTCCTTCAGGTTCAATTGATTGCTCCGTTTATTCTTGCTTTATAGTCATTAGGGCTTGTTTAGATTTGAAGTAAAAAACACAGTTGTGGCATATTATATGAAACTATTTACTTTAATTGTTTCGAAAAGAAGGAAATTTTAAGTTTGACGCATTATAATGTATCATTTTTTTAAAAAAATATGACAAAAAGATGTAAGAAAACTTAATTTCAAAAGAAAGGGATTTTAAAAGGAAAGAATTTATTTAAAAATAAATGTAAAAAAGAAGATAATTACACTGGTTATCATAAATTAAGGAAAAATCACAGCGATAACTCTTTCAAAAGTAAGCCAAACCGTGCAAAATTTGCATATGTTGTCCACTAAGAGTAGCTGAGTAAAATTGCAATATGCAAATTAGTGGCGCTGCACTCGGCTTACGTCATCTGCCTGGAGCATAAAAGTCCAAGTTTGAGAGAAAGCACACAAATTTTACTGTGATTGCGACATTGAAAATCTGAGATAGCCAATTCGTAATAATGACCTCTAGGCATCATTTGCCTGAAGAACTACGATGGAGAGCCATCGGGAGACTAGAGGCAGGGCAGAGTCAATCAGAAGTGGCCAGATGGCTAAATGTGAGTCCATCTGTGGTTCATAGACTTTGGAGGCAATTTCAAACCACAGATTCGGCATCTAGGAGGTTCAGTCAAGGACGGCCAACTGTTACGACCAGTGCCGATGACCGATATTTGACATTAAGTGCACGCAGGAATAGAACCGCTACTCCGACACATCTTAGATCCTCTCTTGCTGCAGCCACCGGAAGGTTGGTGTCAACGTCAACTGTGCGCAGAAGGCTCCACGAAGGTGGTCTGTATGCGAGACGACCAGCCATTTGCGTGCCGCTCACATCACGCCATAGGAGAGACCGTTTGCAGTGGGCCCGACAACATGTCCACTGGACGTCAGATCAATGGAGGCCTGTTCTCTTTACGGATGAGTCCAGGTTTAGTCTAGAAAGTGACAGTAGACGTTATTTGATATGGAGAGAACCTGGGACCCGTTATCATCCATCAAACATCCGTGAAAGAGATGCATACGGAAGAGGCAGTGTCTGTGTTTGGGGAGGCATATCCTTAGGAGGGCGCACATACCTCCATGTCTTTCCAAGGGGAACCGTGAATGCTCAGGTTTATCGAGACAACATCCTTGATGCTTATGTGCGCCCATATGCCGGGGCAATTGGTGATTGCTTCCTGTTACAGGACGATAATGCAAGACCACACAGAGCTCGCATTGTTGATGATTATCTTCAACAGGAAACAATTACTCGCATGGAGTGGCCAGCTCGATCCCCGGACTTGAATCCTATCGAGCACGTTTGGGATGCTCTAGGGAGGCGTGTATCTGCCATCAATCCGCCCCCTCAGACCCTTGCCACGCTTGCAACTGCTTTACAAGAGCAATGGCTCTCACTTCCTATTGAACTGATAGACCGCATAATTGAAAGCATCACACATCGCTGTTTGTGCTGTATTGCTTCTAGAGGCAATCATATTCCATATTAAAGGTACTTTTTCTATTGCAAACCGATACTTCCAATTTGTTTATTTTATACATGTGCTAATTTCTATACTACTATTAATGTCTGATAATTTCTTTTTATGTTGTTTAATACCTTACTATGTGTTGTATATTGTGGGTAAGTTTCATAAAATTCCATGTGTAATTTCTTGAGTTATCGCGATTTTTGTGAATTTTCCTTAATTTATGATAACCAGTGTACTTACTTTTATTTTTAGACAATTATGAAAACTAACATTTATGCACATAAAAATCAAATTATTCAAAAATATGCCAAGTACTTAAACACAAGGCATTAAATGTGTGCGTTTAAATTATGCAACTATAAACCTATTTAAAAAAAATAAAAATAAGCATTACTAGAGAAGTAAAAAATTAAATTCAATAATATTTAGGTTTTATCAAATATAATCGATTTTATTTATTATCTTTCCCTTCGGTGTCCTTGATTCGCCCCTTCCAAGGATTTCTTCAAAATTTGAGAGGAAATTAATCAGTATTTTGCGACATCACTAAATATTTACATGACTGGCCGGGCATATAAGGATAAAAAATGCATATGTCGGGCAATTCCTGTTTTGCCTACTCAAAGCAGTATTTCCCAAACTTTATTAAATTTACGCTTTCATATATGTGTGCACTACATAAAAAATATAAACTTTAAATGACTAAAAATAAACAACCAAAGGAAAAAAAGAAGTTGAATAAACAAAACCCTAATCAATAAAAAAAAAAAAAAAAAGCCGAAATTGAAACTAAGATGGAGCCTAAGACCTTTCACACTCTATTCTTTAGTTTAATTCAAACATTTGGCTCGATTAGTGACGCCTTATAAATATTCATAGTTAATTATATCCTTTTATTTCTCCCTTAAATAGAAATGATTGCATGGTAATGAGTTTTTCTTATGGAAGCTTTAACTTTTAAAGAGTTTCATATAAGTCATTTATTTTTATGGCGATATTTGTTATATTGAAAAGACAGGATTTTATTTCTTCCCTACCACCTGCAATTATTATTATTAATGCCCTGTTTTGTTTTGATGTAACATCTGAATTCAAAACAAGTACTAACTAATTTTTTATCCATATAAAATTAGTAAACATACCGGTAAAAATGACTAGTTAAAAAAGTAACTATACATTTGTAAAATAAAGTTATGTTTATGTTTATGTGCTAGACATTAATGTTATTAATAAGATTTAAATAAATATTTTTTCAGTAATCTTAAAATAAATATATTTCACTTACCTTAGAAAAAAGAAATGCAATTTTTTTAATAGTGGAAAAAAAGAGCAAATTTTTGAAGGGACTTTTCTTTACGAGTGTTAAAATTCAACTTTCAAATGAAACAAACGATCTTGTTTTGAAAGGCCATACTTATGGAGAAGTACATTCCAGAAAATTAGTGCATTACCG